CTGTATAAATAATGTAAAATTAAATTGGATTTATTAGCCAATCAGACAAACTTCTGCCTATGATCTCGTATCACTAGTCGGATTTAGGCCGCCATTTAGCGATGAAAGCCAACTATTTCTGCTGTTTTACTTAACGAGTGAGCCATGACCTCATTAATGATGTGTAATGCGTATGACTACCCACAAAAATTCTACTGTCACGTGATGATCGATGGCAAGTTAGCAAATAGCGAACGACGATTTGATGTAATACTACACGATCAGAATCAAAACAACATTCGTTTTTCAAAAATCCTTGAACAAATTTACTAACCTTAAATCCTTATGTAATCACTTACCCGAACTTAAGAATTTTTTGTACGATCACGTGGCAGTAAGGATGGAATCGGCTTAAAGTGAGCCGGCTTAGCCACGGCTTTTTAGCCGAGCTGACAAACCGGCTGAGCTGGCTCAAGCCGTATCGTGTGACATGCTGTAATATAGCGGCTTGCTCTGTGACTAGATAATAGATCGGATTTACCAATAAAATTTTTACTAAATCACGGGATGAGATACAATTTGGCCAATCACAATGGAAGCCCGCTATGCTACATGCTGTAGCCTTTCGAAGGTTTAATCCCTATTTCTTCATAAAGTTCTGAATGCGTTAGGAGTAATTCTACGGATTCTTTGATTCCTTGAATTTGTTGTTCTAAACCACCAATATCTGTAGGTGCTCTCTCAAGTTTCATAACACTAACCGTTGGATCAGTATCATTTTGAAGTACACCGACAACAAACATAGCCTATTAGGTGTATATGTTGTTAAATAAGTAGACCATAAAACAACAAATAAAATACGCGTTTTTGTATATACCTTATGATGTAATATCCTGACTCCAATAAGTCTTTTCTACAAATGATAAGATGCTGACATAATATGCTGGTCCGTAGGCATAATCATCGTCAATGATTTCTTCCAGAGATCCTACACCTATTGGGGAACCATGTAAACTACCCAAGTTCTTTCTTCCTGATAAACTGGGACCTAACCATCCCTAATTGATATACAAATTAAGCATACAGATTAAATCAACTACATGTCTGATCTGATGTCTAATTTGATATCTGATATAATAAAATAATATAAACTTACTTTAAATTATTTTGTATTTATGTCAATGTTTTAATTTCCACTTTACATGATGGTAAATGTAACTGTGTATATTCATCTAACCGCGTCACTAAAAATCTATCACCATTCTTTGAACATTAATTAAACTATTAAAAGGAATCTAATTGATTACATCTTCATATTTTATAGCTTTAAGTTGAAATTCTTTAATGCACTTATTGATATTCTTATTTTCACTTATCCATCCTTGTATTGTCTTCTAAAGGTCACATGATTGACACCAAGAATAAGATGTATTATATTACTTGAAATTTGCACATGTTTTATTATTTTTATTTCTTTTGGAACCAAATTCATTAAATACCAACATATTTATATTTATTTGTTGTAATAGTTTGAGTTAAATCATAAATACTTCTATCTTCTAATTAATTTATTAATAACTATATTAGAGGATAGTGATTCTAGTATAGTGATTGGCTTGTCATCTTCCAAGTAGCAGGTCCAAGGTTCAAATCCTACCTATGATGAAATTTGGTAGTTAAACCTATGTTATGAAAACTGTCACCTGTTGATCAGTTGGATTTAGGTATCTGTAATCTTGAGTACAACCAATTAGATTTTATTCATCATTAGAAGCTCAGACATTTATGTGAAATGTAACATTATATATAATATAGAGAAATATTAATAACCAATATTGCATAAGACTCTAATACAAACCCATGATAAGGTTATCAGACACAGAAGATCAAAAAATTGAGGAAACAGAATTTCATTTAGAAATTTCCAAGTAAAGAGGTAACACAAATTTTTAACAGTGCTGTCAGACTGATAGAAGTTCAGGAAATCCAATAAGGAATAGGTTGACATGCAACTGGATGACAAGATGTATAGAGTAGCATATAACCAACTAGGTCACTAGAATTATCAGATGAAAAGAATACTAATAGGTATATCATACCAGGTCATCTGGATTAGAAATCTGGGAAGTTAGTTGAATTCTGAGTTAGATAATAAGATGATAAAGAGAAGAAGTTGAAAAGATAGCTACTAGAGTTTGGATAAACTTTATAAGAATGAAATAGTGTAATGTAGAAGTTAAACAGATAATTCTTGTGATTACAAGTATTAGATAACTATATTGTGTTATATAAAACTAGATCAGCTATGTGTAGGATATGAAATGCTATAGTAATGATGCTTCTAAGAATGTACTACATGAAATAAGATATATGGTTCTAAAATTATGAATAAAAGATCTAGACCTTCTTGACTAATATCTGTATCAGAGATGATCTAGTGATACAATAGGAATTGCAGTACAGAAGGTTTAAATAGGTAATGTTTCTAGTCAGATTACAGGTATAGCAATTAGTATAGAATTATTGGCATACTATTTAAATTAGACACTAAAAGTATATGTGTAACTAGTTGTATTATCTAATATAAAGTGACTTCTTTGAGGGCTTAACTACAGGTCCCTATGTTCTAATTTATTGAATAAAGCCCTAGTCTCAAAAGAGGCTAGTAAATTTCTAAAAAAAAAAATTAATAACTATATTATATATATCATAAATAAATATAATAGTATACCAAGAACAAATGTAATGAGTGTATAGATTATATGATATTTGAAGTTAGATTTGTTTATAAAATCTAAATTTGATTTGCTTACATGATTTATTTATCAAATTTTAATCATTTTTTATATATAAATTTTATTATATATGTAGATCAACAGATATATATATTGTTATAAGAAAATCAAATAAATTCAAAAATAGAATCAATATAATGAATCATTATTTCAAAATCATTAATGTTTATAATATTACTCAAAAGCAAAAGAGGTAAATATAATTTGGCCATAGCTAAAATGGCTTTTAATTGAGTTACTAAGTAAGAATAAGTATTTTTCTTTAAAAAAACATTTATGTCTCTTAACACTTCTTATAATTTATAAACTGATTATTTTATTAATTTTCTTTAGATTACAGAAATGGGAATCAAGAAAGTTATAGAGGAGATCCTATGCTACTTAACATCAAAAACAGAAGGCTTTATAATAAATTATTAGAAAAGTATATTTAAGAACATTTTTACTTTCTTGTATTAATGTTTTCTTTTCTGTTAATTGTACAATTTCACTCTTTGACTCATGATTTTGTCTTTTAATTATCTTTTCTATTTTATAGAAACCACTAATAGAGCTACAGCTATATTTTCAAAAAGTCTTTGTAGATTAAAGGCTTTATTGTAAGACTGTGAAAGTAAGTATCACACTTTTTCTTATTATGTGCCATGATGATTCTACTAAGTCTTTCTTGCTTTTTAGATTAGTGATAATTGTCATATATAGAGCCCAGGTTTACAATCATGGGTGCCTTGTTCTAAATTTTAGAGCTTTTTTTGCATACAATAAAGAGAAATCAGATTACATAATTACTAATTTTGGGTTATGATCCAGATTGTGATTTTAGTCACATTTTCAGTTATGTTTTTAATGATTATTATATAACAGTTTAACTAAATTTCTTTCCAACAATATGCTTTAAATAATTATAGAATATAAATTAAATGTAATAACATAATTGTGATAAGTAATGATAGTAAATGCAAGAACATTAAACTCAAAAATTGGTAACTTAATACTAATTAATTTGTCTATTTTTTTAATATTTATTTTTTATTTTCTTCATAAGATTTTTATTAGGCTGTTAAATAATAATTAATAATCATTAAAGAGATAACTTAATAATCTGATAATTTGTTATATAATGCCTTGTAAACTTTTGTTTAATTAGATAATATAGATTATTAACTTATACTGTATATTAAATATTTTATAATATATTAATAAGATTTAAATTAGTTCTTATTTGTATTTTACTTAAACTGATTGTTAACAACTATATTTGCTTTATTTTTAGTTTTTAATATTACTATATTATTTATCTATCTTATTTATAATTTTAATCAAATTTGTAAATCTTTTAATAAGATCTAAAAAAACAATTTTAAATCTGGTTAATGATTTGCAATTTTGATCAGAATAATAAATAATAGGCTTTTTTTTATTAATTAAATAATTAAATAACATTGCTAATATGCATTTTATATCTAATTATACAATAATTAAAATATTTATAATTTTGAAAATTTCTAATCACCAGTCTGGTTGATTTTATTAAATATTAGCTTATGTTATATCTTAAAAATCTACTAAGTAATAGGATTAGACACTCTAAGTAAAAATATTTAAAACTTTTAAAAATTTTATAAAAATTAAAATCAGAATCTTATATTTAACCTATATTATATTATATAAAAAAACTTTATAACTGCATTCTAACTCTAAATTTTAATAACTAATAATAATTATTAGTAGCAACATATTTTTAACAACTAATAATAATTATTAGTAATAATATGTTTATAAATTATATATATTAATAGTATAGACTAATATTTAATAAAATCTTTATTATTTTTATTAAAAATATAGCATTAGTTAACTGGTTGACTAAACTGTATTGACTAATTAGTATTAGTTATAATTAATAATTATAACAAATGGGATGTGGTGACCTAGTGAAGTGGTCAGGTTGTTAACCCCCCAAGTGGTAGATTGGGTGTTCAAATCCCATCAATGGTGAAAATTTGGATAATCACTTATGTAATATTCGCATTATGGCAACTGTTACTAACGATTGAGTTAGGATACCTGTAATAGCA